GGAAGAGGGTTTCAGTATCTCGTGGACTGGGAGGGTTATGGTCCAGAGGAGAGATGCTGGGTGCCGTCCCGGGACATTTTGGACCGTTCGTTGATCGAGGACTTCCGTTGGCGACAAGGTGGGCCTCCTCCTGGGGTGCCGGGTGGCGCTCCTGGGAGGGGGGGTACTGTCGGGTCTCGGGTCTGATCACCTGTCTCTTGTTGTCTCTGTGTTTGTGTGTTGTGCATGGCTTGTTTTGACAGCTCGCCACGTGCGCATATGTCAGCATGATCATTGTCCCCGCCCTCCTTGTTTCTCTGCTCCCCTCTTGTTTCACACCTGGTTCTGGTCATCTCATTAGCTTCTCCTTATAGCTCCTCGTGTTTCTCTGTCTATTGTCAAATTGTTGTGATCATTCCCTTGCTCTGACTGTCAGTGTAATATCGCTTACCAGTCCTGTCTTGTCTCGTCCAGGCTCCAGTGCTTGTAGCGGTCTGTTTATTTTTCCCGCACCTCTCTGTGCGTTCAGGAACCGTGGGCTTCCTCCAGCATCCGCCTACCCTGGGACTCTGCGATCTCGTTGTTGGGCTTCTCAGCCTCTCGCTCGGATTAGCGAGCTGCCCCTCCGGCTCCGTCTCCCCTGCCGCTGTTGCGGCTTGTTCCAGCCACTGCTCTCCACCCATCGGTGTGGTTGGGGATTCAACGTCCGCACTAACTGTCCGCGAAGGCGCTCATTGCCCGCGGTGATAATCTCTGCACAATAAAGCACCTGTTGAACCCGCACCTGAATCCAGCCTTGTTTTACGTGACAATTATCAGTATCAGAGACATCGGATGCAAAATTCACTTTTACATGTTGTTTGAACTGAAATGTGTTGGCAGTATGTGTACACAACCACCCTATCATGATAAAAATCCATCCAGTCTGAGTGTCTTTTTTTTTTAATCCCCATAAATAATAACCCCTTTCTCAGATCAAGCCATTCACAGATTCTTGGCTGTGTGACGTCACACAGGCCAATGCCCCTCCCACGATTGTTGACTGACACTGACATTTTAGCACAGACCCGCCCTGAGTGCCTTTGTTTCTACACCGGAGCAGGTGTAGACAAGAATGTCTCCTAAGCGATTGAGGCGTTTTGTTGTTGGATGTAATAATGAACACAGCAGTCGTCATTTACTCCCGACATCTGAACCGCTGAAGATGCAGGGGATTACTTTTAATTTTTTTAAGGGAATGTGCCCCCGATCTACATAAATGTGTCTATGTTCGTGTGAATCATTCGTGATCCAGCTTCACCTACAGAAAAAGTGAGTATAAAGTTTTTTTTAATGAATCTTTGCAAACCACCTTTCCTAATAATAGGCTAGTTAGCAAGTTCTGCGACGAATGCGGCTAAAGTTAACAGTCTAGAAAACTGCTAGTCTAGAGAGGGGCGGGGTGAGCAGAGCTCATTAGCATTTAAAGGGACATGCACCAAAATGGGTCGCTGTGAAGGTAAAAAGGGTGTTGTTTTACACTACCATAGAGAAAAAAATGTAACCAAAATATGTTATAGACTTTTCATTAAGACCCTAAAGAATCATATCAACTTGTGAAAAATGGGCATCCGATGACTCCTTTAATTTATATTTGTATTACATTTGAGTGACTTTACAGACTCGCCCTACTCGCTTCCATTGTGAGTGCATCACTGTTTCCTAAATTTTTGCTTTTATTTTTTCGCCATTATGCCATAAATGCTGTCGAGTTTAGCTGGCACAGAACCGGGAATATTCTTCTACTTCTAGAAGTACCTGGTAAATGAATGAGATTCAGAGAACATTTCTGAGCGATGGCCATCATTTTGTTCTCCTCCTCTCCATGGCAACAGTAGGTCACAGCAACCCCCAGAGTGCCTGAAACACAACAGACAGACAGAGGCCACGGTCAGAGGAAAAACACTGCTGATCATATCCATTTCTAGAATTCTAATGAGAATGAAGATTAAATTCGTCCACAACAACACGCTCAAGTTCCAATTATGAATTCTGATTTTGGAGTGCTGCGGTCATTAAAAAGCTCTTGATGAGTTTGTGTTTAGCAGCTAATTATGAAACTACTTGCTGTAGTTGCCCTTTCAGACTCTGACCTGTCTCAGAGCAGATGATCTCTGATTAAGCACTCTCATGTAAATGCCCAAGACACACATTAATTCAAACCCACAGAGTAGAGGCTTCACATATATTGGTGCTTAATTGTTTTATAATTGGACACACCAAATCGTCCGGCACGACCAATACGGTGCATGTAGGTCTCCCAGTCCTGAGGAACATCCAGATTAATCACCAAGTTCACCTTCTCAGCATCAATACCACGTGAGGTCTGTGGAAGAGAGAGATATATAACAAATTAAATGTTGTTTGGGTATTAAACGTTGGGTATTTTCCAGTGTAGGTGTTATAATAGGTTCAGAGCCTCACCAGATCTGTGGATATTAAAACTCGACACTGATACTGTTTCAGCTTCCACATCGCCTCTAACCTCTGATCCTGGCTTAAACCACCTACATGCAGAACACACATCAAGGGGTTTAAACAGGGGCGGGGTGAGCAGAGCTCATTAGCATTTAAAGGGACATGCACCGAAATGGGTCGCTGTGAAGGTAAAAAGGGTGTTGTTTTACACTACCATAGAGAAAAAAATGTAACCAAAATATGTTATAGACTTTTCATTAAGACCCTAAAGAATCATATCAACTTGTGAAAAATGGGCATCCGATGACTCCTTTAATTTATATTTGTATTACATTTGAGTGACTTTACAGACTCGCCCTACTCGCTTCCATTGTGAGTGCATCACTGTTTCCTAAATTTTTGCTTTTATTTTTTCGCCATTATGCCATAAATGCTGTCGAGTTTAGCTGGCACAGAACCGGGAATATTCTTCTACTTCTAGAAGTACCTGGTAAATGAATGAGATTCAGAGAACATTTCTGAGCGATGGCCATCATTTTGTTCTCCTCCTCTCCATGGCAACAGTAGGTCACAGCAACCCCCAGAGTGCCTGAAACACAACAGACAGACAGAGGCCACGGTCAGAGGAAAAACACTGCTGATCGTATCCATTTCTAGAATTCTAATGAGAATGAAGATTAAATTCGTCCACAACAACACGCTCAAGTTCCAATTATGAATTCTGATTTTGGAGTGCTGCGGTCATTAAAAAGCTCTTGATGAGTTTGTGTTTAGCAGCTAATTATGAAACTACTTGCTGTAGTTGCCCTTTCAGACTCTGACCTGTCTCAGAGCAGATGATCTCTGATTAAGCACTCTCATGTAAATGCCCAAGACACACATTAATTCAAACCCACAGAGTAGAGGCTTCACATATATTGGTGCTTAATTGTTTTATAATTGGACACACCAAATCGTCCGGCACGACCAATACGGTGCATGTAGGTCTCCCAGTCCTGAGGAACATCCAGATTAATCACCAAGTTCACCTTCTCAGCATCAATACCACGTGAGGTCTGTGGAAGAGAGAGATATATAACAAATTAAATGTTGTTTGGGTATTAAACGTTGGGTATTTTCCAGTGTAGGTGTTATAACAGGTTCAGAGCCTCACCAGATCAGTGGATATTAAAACTCGACACTGATACTGTTTCAGCTTCCACATCGCCTCTAACCTCTGATCCTGGCTTAAACCACCTACATGCAGAACACACATCAAGGGGTTTAAACATAATAACCATTAATAATGGCTTTCATACATTTTGGGCCTTCATTTAAATGCCCACGTTCTAAATTATATCATTCTTATCCAAAACCTAGTGAGCTGCTAAGAGGGGCTGCATTGTAAGGCATTATATGCACACACTCAGTATCAAAAGGTAGGCAACCTAATCATGAAATATATCATCCATGATGAGATGCCTTCTTTTATTTGAAGTCAAGTGGCATTGCATATATCCTTCATGAAGAAGGCCGTTCTAGACTGCAATGCAAGGAGTTGTGAAATGTTATTATAAATTTATAAACAATCTTATCTTCATTAAATTCAGATTTTTTTTCCTCTAAAATTTTAATGGCACTTAAGTTAAAAGTTAAACTTTTTAAAAACATCTAGAGACCTTGCTCGGTTTTTTTTTTCAGTCTACATGTTCTGTGTGAATGGCCCTTATGTAATCTATTATTACTTTGTTGTAGTACTTTTCTTTTCTTTTTTTATGAACAGAATTAAAAAACCTTTTGTAATCTTATTTTTGAAAATATTTTAAAAATGAAAAAAAATATTAATAATTTTGTGACCTTTCATGAACTTAAATTATATAATTGAGATCAGTTACAACCATACATTTAATACTCCTTCATTCACTTGAGATCAAACCCACAGAATCAAACCACTGACATTTTACAAAGTTTCAAAAGTATGATGCAACAAAGCACTAATTGGGAACAAAGGATTTTTTCTGCCATAAAGTAAAAGTCTGTTCAATATACAGCAAGGCCATTCACTAAGTTTTAAAAGAGATCCAAGGTGAAGCTCACCTGAGATGCAGACCGCAGGCAAACCTTTAGAGGAGAGGATATCAGCCAGGTGCTGAGCTCTGCAGAACAACAGATCAACTCAGTCTTTCATTACTTTCAATAAAGATCACAATTCTTTTCTTAATAAAAGTCTTTGAATAATAACGAGCGGTGCTGTAATAGTATCTGTTACTCTTATTGCACACATCAGCATGTTTTCAGAATAATTGAAAGGTGTGTCAGCTCTTGCCTTGTATGGAGGTTTGAGAATACCAGGGCTTGGTTAAATGGGATTTTGCTGAAGAGTTCAAGGAGACTCTGAACCTTCTCCTCAAAGACTTTATGAGGTAATGAATGAGACGGCACGATTTTATAGTATTGCTTCAGCCCTGGAGGAGAGAATATATCATTTCAATTCGAAAGGGTATTCACAAAGAAGAAATACATCAACAAATCAGACAGGACTGCAGACTGACCAAGAAGTCCAGGGTCTGTCGGGTTCAGTCGCACAAACGTCGGCTCTCTCATGTATCTTGACAGATTATGTGCTAAAGATTCTGGGTAGGTGGCAGAGAGGGCCAACATTTGTTTGTTCGCTGGTAAAGAGGAGAAGATCCAGCTAAAACAGACAGAGAGAAAGTAAACTCAAACCTGCTGAATTACAATACCGAACTCTGAATCAAAATCACCTATTCAGCTCTTACTTGATCTGCTCCTGAAAGCTGCTGCTGCTGTCATCCTCCAGCAGCTTATCAGCCTCATCCAAAACAAACAAGCGAATGGAGGATGTAGTTAGGACTCCCATCTCAATTAGCTGCTTAATACGACCTAGAAATACAACAAAACTTCATCAACACTGCCTAACAAAAAAAAAAAAAACACAAACTCTCTATTAGAGAAACCTCTAGTTACTGTTATAAATACTATTCCAGCCAATTTCCTAATTAGATGAGCCAAATCTCACACTTTGCCAAATTATTTGATGTTTTCTTCCATATACTGATGCATGTCCAAACGAACCGGAATATTAAAATTGGTTCAATCCATCAGTGTTGACTGGATGGTGGCAGATCTGAATGTACGCTTGCAGTTGATCATCAGTTTAAGCAGACTAAATAATTGGAAAGTCCAGCTTATGTCACTAGACGGAAGTCTGTCATTTACTGGAAGACAGAATCAAGACATTTTGATTAAAAAGGTCCAAAAGAAAGCAGACATGAATTAATTGTTCATAATCAATACCACGCATTTGGAAAATAGACAGGGTTGAATTTTTACCTCATGTCAACTTTCAGAAGCCATAAAGGCTACTGATAGCTATTGATAAGATGATTTTCCCAAAAAGTCTGAACACTGACTGTCAAACATTGCTGATTATTTGAGCAGAGCAAATCAGCAACCAATTGTTCCGTTTGGGGTGGGACTATCTAACAGACCGACCAATGGCAGAGTGGAGGAGTGTTCAGTGAAAAAAGTTATTTTATCACTTCCAGTTGGTGATGTTAATGACAAAAAAGCACACACACACATCAACTTTAAATATGTAGTAATAAGACCAGAAGATCATCAAGCCTACACATGAAGAAGGACATCTAAACATCCAATGCTAGCAAATCTAAACTAAGGTATAAATGTAATCCATCTAACACATCGATCTAAAAATAATTTCAACTAGCTCATACCTGGTGAACCAATGGCAATGTGGCATTTCTTCAGGTGCAGTTTGTCTTGACTGATAGGTCGGCCGCCAATGAACACATGACACTCCAAGCCCTCCATAGCACTGCCTATAGCCATAACAACAGCATGAATCTGCACTGCAATCTCCCGAGTGGGGGCCAAAACCAGCACCTGATGGGACAAGAGAAGGGCACATTATTGTCAAACAGGCACACACTCGTGTTTTAGCTGCTTATATTTAACATCAAAAGATAGAGGAGTCTTTCAAACGTTCATAGTTCCTTTATTCCGTTTTACAATGATTATAGAATAGGACACTATTTAGTAAAACATTACATTAGATTCCGTTGCATATTGGAAAAAGTAATACCTGTGTGGTTGTGTTTTCTAATATAAGAGAGTCCAAAGCGATGGTGGTGAACACACAGGTTTTTCCTGTGCCAGACTTGGCTTGAACAATAAGATCTGGACAGAAGAAAACGTCAATAAACAACATTATTTCCCTCTAACGGAGCATGAAATACAGGCACAACGTTTTCATTGATGCACTATATTTTTGAATGTCACAGTACAGTCCTGTCATTTAAGAGCAGTTGGTTTTGCTATGTGAATAATGTCAATAATTGTTTTGGTGCTGTTTTCGAGTATTTTCGGGTCTCGTACCGAGTCCACATCTTCCCAGCGGGATTGCCTTCAGCTGGATGGGGGACGGTCTGTGAAAGCCAGAGGCAGATAACCCCTCAAGCACGGGTTTTGAGAGAAGTAACGAGCTGAACTCGACACCCCCGTTAATCAGAACATCTTCTGTCCGGGTTCTGGATTGCAGCTCATGCGCTGCTTTCACGGGTGCCGCCATATTTCTGTTCCGACTAAGTTCAGTTCTTCGACGCTGAATAAATGAGTTGCGCAGTGAATCACGTCGCCCTCTTGCGCACAGAAACGGAAACGCCGCTTGAAATATCAGCAATATCCTGCACACTTGGTTGACAAACAAGCGATGAAATTGAAATAGAAACTGCAAACATGTAGGCATAAAAAAATACGTTCGACTTCAGTAGGGTTGAAATTAAAGCAAATTTTGAATACCACATCTAATACATTCCCTGCCACTGAAAGTTTATTGTCCCATCAAGTTAACACGATTTAACATTTGCTGTTTTTTGAGGACATCAAGCCACCGGAATTCAATTCTATATTATTATTTCAGTTCTATTATATATTTTTAAAGATTGTAAACGGACTAAGGCTCTTCCCCCTTCTAATATCCAATCAGAGTGAATCTTAAAATCTGAGTTAAAGCTGTACAATTGTAGCTCTATTGTTATGCATGAAGCCTCCATTCATCATGAACTGACCACTGGTGTGAAAGCATGACCCGTTTTGTTGACGATCAGCCGTTAGTAAATCCTATTCAGGAACTTTTCCTTCAAATCAACCTGAATTAAGCTACATGACACCACATACACTTCAGTGGCTTGACTGTACTCCTCGCCTGTGCTGGGCTGTAATGTCATCTGAATATGTAATCAGGAGTGTGTCAGAGGCGAGAGGAATATTATATTAGCAAACATCGCTGGTCATACCTCACGACTGACCATTACACACCAAGGCGGAAGAAACCAAAGAACTCAGCGGATAGCGATTTCAGAGGATCTCAGTTTTAATGAATTAACCTGCTTTTAGTTAATACAATATTTTAATTTTGTAATTCAGCAGTTATGGGGGAAGACCAAACGGATCTCGGTGACATGGACAGCAACCTTCGGCGTCTAAAACATGAACTGGTGAGATTTCCTGCTCTTTTTTTCTCTTCATCTACTTTTACAAGACAGGTGTGTTTATTTATCGCAAGAATCTTCTCAGATATGTACAGGTAATAATTAGTATGACTCTGCATTATAATGTTTTCATTAACACATTTTTGCGCCTTTCTCGTGCCATGTGTGTTGATGTTTATCCAGCTCAGGGTTGCCAGGTTTTCACAAGAAAACCCGCCAATCGCTACTCAAAATTAGCCCAATCGCGTTTCGAGGGGTCCCCGTGTTCCAGGGGGGGAAATATACATTTTTTGGCGGGGTTTCCCTGCTAAAATTCGCATTCAAGGGGATAAATATCATGTTATTGGAGTCGCTTCAACTCGCGGACATGAAAAACAACCTGAGGCACCAGTGTTAAAGTAGCCCAATTCGCGGGAAAACCGCGGACTTGGCAACACTGATCCAGCTGTTGTCCAGGCGCTGGAGAAAAGGTGCAACCTGATTGGCAGTGGTTTTTTGAAAAGGAGGCCGCTGATTGGCCGGTACTCGCACTTCTGTAACGATTTAAAATTTAAAGGGATAGTTCACCCAAAAATGAAAATTTTATGTTTATCTGCTTACCCCCAGGGCATCCAAGATGTAGGTGACTTAGTTTCTTCAGTAACGCAAACAAAGATCTTTAACTCAAACCGTTGCAGTCTGTCAGTCATATAATGGAAGTGAATGGCAATCACGGCTTTGAGTAAAAAAAAACATACATAAACAAAATCCAAATTAAACCCTGCAGCTCGTGACGATAAATTGATCTGTAAAGACATGAAACGACCAGTCTGTGCAAGAACCTGAACTGTATTTATATTGTTTTTTACCTCTAATTCACCCCAATGTCCAAACTGTCCTGAGCGTGTTCTTAACAGGTTGCGCGTGAAGCATCTTCTTCTTCTTCTTGCTTTACGGCTGATTGCAGACTTATAAGTGCATTACCGCCACCTATCTCTCAAATGGACCATTGACACTCTATCTACAATCTCAATTAGGAGTGTCAATGGTCCATTTGAGAGATAGGTGGCGGTAATGCACTTATAAGTCTGCGATCCGACAGTTCGGACATTGCGGTGAATCAGAGGTAAAAAAAACAATATAAATGCTGTTCAGTTTCTTGCACAGACATATTTTTAATTTAGCCTTAAATTTTCATTTTTGGGTGAATTATCCCTTTAAGTGCACCTTGTGATCATCAGATTAAAACACTTTAACTGATCTATAATAGAGAACACTATATATGTAATATGCATTATACAGTCAAACCAAAAATTATTCAGACAGCAGATATAATTTTTCAAATATTTTTATACTAGTGGGTGCAGGACACTATAGTTCATTTATGTAAGTGAGGATAGCAAAATAAAGTAAACTGTGACTTGTTATACCCAAAAATTATTCATACAGTGGACTACCAGTAAAATTTATCAAAATTTGGGACCAAAAATTATTCACTTTGACCTGACCATGTTTTGCTTAAGTGTTTTTTTTTTTATTGCTAATGCGACCGTTTTACACCACATACTGAACACAATTAAGCATTGCTTGGTAACTGGATGACCTAAATTGGTATTATCTAATTGTGTACTTAAAATTAACAGCTGACAGATATTCAACCTAATTCATTACATTCCTTTCCATCAAAGTTATCTGACATTATCAAGATGAATTTGTTCTGACACAATTTAACTCTGAGTTTTTGTCATATTTTATTACCGTTTTCTAAATTATATAATAAATTGTGATAATATGAGAAATGTTGAAGGTGTCTGAATAAATTTTGGTTTGACTGTATAGATCAGTGAACACATCCAACATTGCTGTAGAAGAAACCTGCAATAAACCCTTATGACAGAAAAATGTATTTCTTATTTATTAATTTATTTATTTTTAAATAACCTTTATTTGTATGGTTGAGACCGAAAATGAACGAGTGAGAGTAAATAGGTGCTTGCCAAATGAGGAAACAGGGCCACAAGGATGTTACTCACAACATCAATCACTTGTTGGTGGGATCAGTGATGTCTGACTAATACTGCTGTCCATCTGGGCACATCCCACCGGAAACTGACACAGGAGAAGTCAGTGACATCCCAAAATGAGAAATAGGACCTACGGCTGAATCTGATGAAATAGTGAACACGGAACATGCCACAACTAGCAAACAGGGCAAGTTATAGACATACAAGTGATTCGTTGCTATAATTTTCCTCTTTAAACTGAATTCTCATTGTAAAAGTGACTTTTATGATGACATTATGGCTCTACTGCCTACATAAGCAGCCAATATAACATCCTATTTGAATATCCAGTTCAGAGTGAATGGAATGTTTCAAGTACAAGTTAAGTTCTACGTTACCCTACACCTACATTTATGACCAACCCAGTAAAATACATGCCTCAGCTGTTCGCCCATGACTCACAGTCTAGTCATTTCACCCACATGCCCATGAGCTCCTACATCTCCCATCATGCCTTGAGACACAGCACTACTGTAGAAAAGCATCAGTGGTGTGCTGCTGTGCTCAGACTGGCTGGTGATCGATCACACTTGTAAGGGAGAGAAGGAACAGAAAACAGGGAGTGAGACGAGAGAAGGAAAGATAGGGAAACAGAGCGACTGCAGGGTGAAAGAAGGTAAGATGACAGTGGTTTTATTCAGTAATAGAAGAAAATGGGCATTTTTGTAGTTTATAGAGATGGAATTTGCTTGAATGTATTCAATTATAATAAATACTAATAAATACAACTTATTATTTAATACAATAAATAATAAATATAACTAAGCAAATACTCCATACAGGATGGGATATCAAAAGTTGATATAAAGATTTTGGCTCATAACTATGTATAAAGACAAGCATTATGATTTTCTGTCTAGGGAATGTTAACATTTAAAAAAAACTGTTGTAACAACCTATTTTACAATTTGTAGGTATGCATACAACTTTATATATTCATAATTGTCAAACAATAACATTAATAAACATGCAATAAAACATGATCCCTTGGAAATAATTATAATATGCTGGTTTCCTGCTCAGTAAACATTTTTTATTATAATTTTTAATGTTGAAAACAGTTGTGCTGCTCAATGTGTAAACCGTGAGGATTCTTTGTTAAATAGAAAGATCAAAAGGACAGCATTTATTCAAAATTTTTATAGTTACATGAAAGTCTAGATTGTCACTTTTGATCAATGTAATGCATCCTTGCTTAATAAAAGTATTGGTTTCTTTAAAAAATAAATCTCACTGACCCCAGTTTTTTTTAACAGTAGTTTCAAAGCAGCTTTAAAAAAAATCATGCCTTAATCCTAAGCAATTCATTTGAGGATGTGACAAAGACAAAAACATCTGCATTCTCTTGAAGCAGATGCTGAGCCAGGTATCTGTGATGACACACTGGGCAGAAAATGCACACTGTTTGGTGTAATACTGATTTTTGATAATTACTGTGAAGTGAGTGTGAGATAAGCGTTACTCTTCAGTCACAACAGATATCACTGATAATAGTTTCATTATGTCATAGTAATTGCTCTCTTGCCTTTCCCATTATAGGATTCTTTGTGGCAGTCGGATGAGGGTCTCCAAGCTCAGATGAATTCTGTGATCGGCGCTCTCCAGGAGCTCAAACTCTTGCAGGTCCAGACCGCACTGGAGGAGCTGGAGTTCTCCAGTAAAACGAGCCAGGCCTCTTCATACACTCGCACAATGCTCGATCAGATAAACTACAGTTCAAGAATAACCCACCGGAACCAAACACAGAATCCAGAAGAAATTCTTTCACAAGAATGTTTCCAGACTGAGCTTACCATGGAACTGCCTTTGTTCCTCACTAGTTCTCCAGCAGAGAACTGCCATATTCCCAGGGTACACGAACCCAGGAGGGTTTACGGAGGAAGTTTAAGCACTTCTTCCTCTTTTTCCTCTCAGGAAGACACAACCGACAACAATTTCTCCTCATACGATATTGATGACTCCACTGATTGGACAGCCTCATTGATGAACCATAGTAGAAACAGACAGCCATTGGTATTGGGTGACAATGTTTTTGCTGATTTGGTCGGAAACTGGCTGGACCTGCCTGATGTTGGAGGCCAGACAGCAGGTGAGGAGCAGGTGAAAGAGTCATCATCT